GAAGCGGTGAGAGGAGGGAATAACTCTCTTGCACTGGGCAGCCCGAGTATGGAGCCAGAATGATCTCAGTAATAATTCACGCAAAAGACGCGATGCACACATGCGTAACCCAATTCACATGCATGAGAAATAATTCACGTGCACGAAAAAAATATATATATTCACAAAAACCAATTCACATGCACAAAATAAGAATATATATTCATAAAATACTTTTCACAAATGCAAAACACAATCCACAGATGTACAACTGTGTACACAATTTTTGAATGTTTAAGATTCACGAGTTTATCAGGGGCTGTGAATGTGAATCGCTCTGGATTTGTGTGTATATTTTGAGACCAGCGAACTACTGCCAGCGGGACACTCGTACTCTTTAGCCAATCAGATTTGAGCCTGTCTGTCGACCAATCATAACCCACTCTGGGCGTGTTCATCATAGACATAATAAATAGCTAGACGCCTCATTGGCCGCTTTGAGCCGTTGCTGCGATACGTCAACGCGTCCGCCATGTTTGTGAGGGCAAGACTGCCTTAAACATAAATGCAGGTAAACGGAGGAGCTGCGGTTTTTCTGGATAAAAAAACGCTAACGGTTACATTTATCAACCGCTTTCAGAGGTTTGTGATCTACATGGAGTTAAAAATAACTCTGCCTCCAGTTACAGTGGGGCAAATAAGTATTTGATACACTGACGGTTTTCCCACTTACAAAGAATGGAGAGATCTGTAATTTTCATCGTAGGTACACCTCAACTGTGAGAGACAGAATAAAAAAAAAAATCCAGAAAATCACATTGTATGATTTTTAAATAATTAATTTCCATTTTATTGCATGAAATAAGTATTTGATCACCTACCAACCAGCAAGAATTCTAGCTCTCACAGACCTGTTAGTTTGTCTTTAAGAAGCCCTCCTATCCTCCACTCATTACCTGTATTAATTGCACCTGTTTGAACTTGTTACCTGTATAAAAGACACCGGTCCACACACTCAATCAATCAGACTCCAACCTCTCCACTATGGGCAAGACCAAAGAGCTGTCTAAGGACACCAGGGACAAAATTGTAGACCTGCACAAGGCTGGGATGGGCTACAGGACAATAGGCAAACAGCTTGGTGAGAAGGCAACAATTGTTGGCGCAATTATTCGAAAATGGAAGAAATTCAAGATGACTGTCAATCTCCCTCGGACTGGGGCTCCATGCAAGATCTCGCCTCGTGGAGTATCAATGATCCTGAGAAAGGTGAGGGATCAGCCTAGAACTACACGGGAGGACCTGGTCAATGACCTGAAGAGAGCTGGGACCACAGTCTCAACGGTTACCATTAGTAACACACTACACCGTCATGGATTAAAATCCTGCAGCGTGGGCAAGGTCCTCCTGCTCAAGCCAGCACATGTCCAGGCCCGTCTGAAGTTTGCCAAAGACCATCTGGATGATCCAGAGGAGGCATGGGAGAAGGTCATGTGGTCAGAGGAGACCAAAATAGAAGTTTTTGGTATAAACTCCACTTGACGTGTTTGGAGGAAGAAGAAGAATGAGTATAATATCCCAAGAACACCATCCCAACCGTGAAGCATGGGGGTGGAAACATCATGCTTTGGGGGTGCTTTTCTGCAAAGGGGACAGGACGACTGCACCGTATTGAGGGGAGGATGGATGGGGCCATGTATTGCGAGATTTTGGGCAACAACCTTCTTCCCTCAGTAAGAGCATTGAAGATGGGTCGTGGCTGGGTCTTCCAGCAGGGCAATGACCCCAAACACACAGCCAGGGCAACTAAGGAGCGGTTGAAGCATTTCAAGGTCCTGGAGTGGCCAAGCCAGTCTGCAGACCTGAACCCAATAGAAAATCTATGGATGGAGCTGAAACTCCATGTTGCCCAGCGACAGTCCCAAAACCTGAAAGATCTGGAGAACACCTGTATGGAGGAGTGGGCCAAAATCCCTGCTGCAGTGTGTGCAAACCTGGTCAAGAACTACAGGAAGCGTGTGACCTCTGTAATTGGTTTCTGTACCAAATATTAAGTTCTATTTTTCTATTGTATCAAATACTTATTTCATGCAATAAAATGGAAATTAATTATTAAAAAATCATACAATGTTATTTTCTGGATTTTTTTTTTTGATTCGGTCTCTCACAGTTGAGGTGTACCTACGATGAAAATTACAGATCTCTCCATTCTTTGTAAGTGGGAAAACTTGAAAAATCGGCAGTGTATCAAATACTTATTTGCCCCACTGTATGTGTGTGTATGTATATGTGTGTGTATATATATATATATATATATGTGTATGTATGTTTATATACATATATGTGTGTGGATATATATGTATATGTGTGTGTGTATATATATGTAGGTGTGTGTATAATATATATATATACACCTTGCTACGTGTACTGCGTTAGGCTAACCGAGGCTTGTCATTTGCACTTATATATTGTTGCTCTTTTGTTAGTTTTGACTGCTTTTATTGTCCTCATTTGTAAGTCGCTTTGGATAAAAGCATCTGCTAAATGACTAAATAAATAAAATAATAATACAAATCTAGCCGTTTATGTACAGAACTGCAGCATCATACTGGGGAATATATATTTTTGAATAACATAATAAAGTGTAATAGCTTTCTGTGTAATAACTGTCTGTGGTCGTTCTTATTTTTTCCTCCTGCTTTTGTAAGCTGTACTTTCTAAAGCTAAAAATGCTGGAAATGGTTGTGTTCTTCCACCCACTCGCGGAGCATCCGCTGCACATCCTCACCCGCGATCCACCTGCCTCTGCGTCACTGCTGCCATGGCAACGGATGATGCTGCTTCTATTCTCTGATGCAGACGTCTACAGACGTCATCACATCCATTCAGATCCACCCCCCTCCTCTCTTTCTCAGACTCACGGCCTGCGGTGTTATTTATAGAAATCCTACGGCTTGCCAAAGCAGCTAATTCAATTCATAAATTCAATTTAACTTCAAAGCATCATCACATCCCTCAAGATTAAGATTTCGGAGTAAAGTTGTCAAGTTCCCTTCAAGGATTTTATAACAGGTCAATTCAATTAAATGAGTTTTGAGGTATCAAGACAAACAACCATATATAGTAGATGTACTTTTTTGTTGTTGTTGCATACAACATGCTCATATGGCAGTAAAACATTTTTTTTTTAATAATATAAAAAAAAAAATGTATATATAACATGTATACACACACACACTTTTATATTGCATTCAACATGTTCATAACATATGGCAGAGAAAAAAAAAACTAAATATTTTTATTGAACTGCAACATATGCTACCAAATCTACATTTAGTCTCATATGAAGTGTGAGATTAAAATGAGTTTTGATATCCTTCAGCTTAATCAATAATTCAATTAATTACGCAACATTCTGTTTTACAACCAAGACTTTGAATGCATTTAAAAGCAAATTATTCTCATCTTCTTTGAAATCTGGAACAATAAATCTATATATCTGAAAATATTAAAATATTCTTCATGTTGCAAATATTATTTTGTATTCATTTACCACACTACTTATGTAGCTACTAAAATGCAAAATACATAGGCTGCGGAACAAAAACTACATTAATAATAAGAATGCTGATGAAACATTTTTAATATTAATGTAGTTTTCTAATATTAAAACTGTTTCAATATCACATCAGTTGTATAATGCCTGACAGAGGAAGTGTATATACTTTTGCATATATCCTACATATACAGTATATGCAAAAGTAAAGCTTCGTCAAAGCCTGGAGGACCTTCACAATATACTTTTGCATATATATATATATATATATATATACATATATATATATACCACCCTCCCGCGCTCTACGTGCAGTGTTGGGGAAAGTTACTTTTAAAAGTAATGCATTACAATATTGCGTTACTTCCTAAACGAAGTCGGTGAGCGACGAGCAGGAGTTCGCGGAGGGCTTCGTCAAAGCCCTGGAGGACCTTCACAAGCAGAACCAGCTGAGCGGCGGCGCGTGCGTCCCTCCGACGCTCAACAGACTCGCCAGCAGCACCGCGCTCGCCTTGCCCACGGATCTGCCCGTGTATACGAACTTGAGCGCGTACGGGAGTACCACGGTGAACTATTCCACGGACACCATTCCGTTCCCTCCGCCGGCGCTGAGAGACGAGCCGCAGACCGTGCCGGACATGCAGATCTTCGGCGACAGTCCTCCGCTCTCCCCCATCAACATGGACACGCAGGAGCGCATCAAAGCCGAGAGGAAGAAGCTGCGCAACCGCATCGCCGCCTCCAAATGCCGCAAGCGGAAACTAGAGCGGATATCCCGGCTGGAAGACAAAGTGAAAAACCTGAAGAGCCAGAACACGGAGCTCGCGTCCACGGCGAGCGTGCTGAGAGAGCAAGTGGCGCAGCTAAAGCAGAGAGTGATGAACCACGTCAACAACGGGTGCCAGTTGCTGCCTAACCAAGTGCAAGCTTATTAGAGGACAGTCTTTATCGATCAGTGTTTTGGGTGGTCTGGTTTGGTTAAACGTCACATTTCCACAGCAGTGCACGAGAGGTCGTGCTCAAGCGACTGAGACATTAAGGAACCACGGTGTTTTATTAAGCAAATCCACTTCCGCAAAAACATAGTCCCTGACTTGACAGAGCGTTGCGTTTCGCGGATCAGTCTTCAGCAAAGATGGGCACTATATCTGTTATTTGTGGTTTAATAGGCTGTGATATGCTTGATTGGACAAGCAGCGTTCCTAACATTTTCCTAAAACGTGTAAGTATTCGTCCGCCTGTACGTGTGACAGCTGACAGTCTGCGCGTTCGACTCTGTTTTGGTTTCGTTTGGAACTATTTTCGGTGCTTTTATTCTAAAAATTGACTTTTTTTTATTAAACAATCCAAGTATTAAGTACCATCAACATTGCTATTTGGTGAAACCAGCGATCGGTAATAAGGTGAACGCTGTTTTGCGTCATAGCGAGTGATCAATTATACCATATTTTTAAAGAAGCGTTCCTAAAGTTTTCATAAAACATCACTGGGAAGTTCACTGTGTGTATCAGTCCGCTGTGCGTTGCTTAGCAACACAAGCGTGTTTTGGTTTCTTTTGGAACTATTCTAGTTGGCGTTGTTATTATTTTAATATTTTCATTAAATTATTATATTAATTGCAATCATTCCGATAGAAAATAGTCCTTGACTAAATGTTGTTTTGCAGTTTTTGTTATGCTAAGATGTGTTTTACGTCATAGCCGTTTATCAAGCGTAGCGTTAGTTCTGGCAGGTGACGTTAGTCAAGCTCGCATCAGCTGACTCTCAGCTGATCCCCATCTACCTTTGGGAATAATACACCTATCTAAGCATTCATATATAAGGTCCCTCAGTAGTATCAGCAGTTTTCGCATTGCTCAATAGCTAATTACCCTCCTCCATCCCCAGCTCCTCCTCTGTCAGTCAGGATTCAGCCTTCTGATTCTCCTTTGAATCAGAATAATTCTAAAATGTGTACATAACATTATTGAACTTTAACGATATCTGCAATACATTTATGTTAGTTCTGTTCTGTTTACCCTGCGGGGGGTTACCGCTGCTCTCCCTGCTCTCATCCAGGCTAGGCTGCATGGATGCGCAGGGAGTTCTTGCCCAGAACGGAGCCATACCGCCAATCCAAACTGTATGCTAACTGTCAATCATCTTTGACGATAGTGGTCCTGACAGAACTTGTATTTAAGCACTACTGGAACGCTGCATTGACCAATCATCAATCATTTTATATTTTTTATATTGGCCTATACAACAGTTAGTTCTCCTACACTAGTTTAACTGCGCAAGCAGTATTTCTAAACACTGTATCACTAACTTGTTGACAGCTTCTTCCGGAAATATTTTCTTTGGCAGAGCAACAGCAAAATGACTGGCTATATAATGTCAGTTACTCGATATGAATGGCTGTATAAAAGCAATATCACATATCATATTGCTTAAATACACGTACGAGTGCATCAAAACCCCGCAGTGTTGGTGATGAAGTGAATTCATATCAGCTGTCTGTGTGCTGAAACATTATTCTGAGCTCAACGACCCATTCACTGATGCATAAAGGCCACAGACTGAACTGATCTCTGCCTTCCAGTGGCCGTTCGTTCTGGTTGGACTGTTGAAATGGACACTACAGGTGCTGATGTATTATATGTTTACAATATTTTGTAGCAAACGGACTGTGTGCTACATGGTTTGATCTCATGAGAGAAGCAGCTGTATTTTTGCATGCTCCAGACAAGCTCCAAATGAGTGCAACCAAACACAACAAAGATGTCATGCATGTATGCTTCATGTCCAAGGCCTTATTAATAAACGACTGTATCCATTTTATATACAACTACTCACACAATGTCTTATTTTAGGCTCTTTTGGATTTACGTGTGTTGTGTTACGTGTAAATGTAAACGTTTCACCTGTCACACGTCCTGTACTGCCTTGTGTGTACATTAATGTCATTAAACCGGTTCAATTCACTTGTTAAATTATATATTTGTGGCAATTTTATAACCCCTTCCTACATACATACACAGACCTTGAACATTTGTAGAACAAGCAGTGAATGGGTGCCGTCAGAATGAGAGTCCAAACAGCTGATAAAAACATCACAATAATCCACACCACATCACTCCAGTCCATCAGTGAACATCTGGAGAAGACTAGAGCTGTGTGTTTATAAGAAACAAATCCATCATTAAGACGTTTTTAACTTCAAACTGTTGCTTCTGGCTAAAATACAGAGAAACAAACTCATCTACATCTTGTAGATGTACATTTTCATCATATTTTCATTTTTGAGAGAACTACTCCTTTAGCAAAGGCCTTTAGATAAAAACATCTATAAAATAATAAAAATCCAGTCCATTCTTACTGAAAGCATTTGAGTGGCAATACATGAGAACATACATACATTATATACATGTAAATACAGTATATATATATATATATATATATATATATAAATACTATACTGGTAAAAATGTATAGACTGGATGCATTGTAAGTCGCTTTGGATAAAAGCATCTGCTAAATGCATAAATTATAAATTATATATGAATATATATCATTATATACATACATTATATATTAGTGCTGGGCAATGATTAATCACGATTAATCGCATCCAAAATAAAAAATGTATAGACTGGATGCATTGTAAGTCGCTTTGGATAAAAGCATCTGCTAAATGCATAAATTATAAATTATATATGAATATATATCATTATATACATACATTATATATTAGTGCTGGGCAATGATTAATCACGATTAATCGCATCCAAAATAAAAGTTTTTGTGTACATAGCATATGTGTGTACTGTGTATATTTATTATATACATTTTAAATAAATACACACACATGCATGTATATATAAAAAAAAAATGTCTTGTTTATATATTAAATTATATATAATATAAATTATATGAATATAAATATATGCATGTTAATACATGTAAATATTTTCAATATGTATACTGTACGTGTGTGTCTTTGTATATACATAATAAATATACACAGTACACACACATATATTATGCTAACAAAAACTTTTATTTTGGATGTGATTAATCGCGATTAATTGTTGACCAGCAATATAATTATATACATACATTATATAAATTTATATATATATATATATACACACACACACACACACATGTATATACAGTTTATAATTTAAAAAAAAAAGTTGTTTGTAAGAAAATACTAATAAATACTAAAATAAAAAATGGTAAACTTCACGTTTAATTTAACAGGTTATTTGCTGTTTCTTTGTAATTATATGTGAAATTTACTAGCAATTTAAGTTAAAATGTTATATTAAATCCTATATTAATGTTCTGTATTAAAGGTGGCATATCATGAAAATCAGATTTTTCCAGGTTTTAAGTGCTATAATCAGGTCCCCGGTGCATCTACCAACCAAGCAAACGTGAAAAAGATAAATCCAGTAAGTTTGTTTAGGGAAGCCTTTTTCTGCAAGCGTCTGAGAAAACGAGCGCGTCTGATTTCGCTCCCTTGGTGACGTGGCAAAGGGATCTCATTATAATATTACCGCCCCTTAATCTGTAAGTTCACACCCACGGAGCCGCTATTGTGTTTTCACAAGTGACAACGGTGTATTAGTTCTAATGCCATGATGAAAGTTTGAGCAAAACATGTTAACTGTTCTGTGTTTGTCTGCACAGACGAGCACAGAACACAGTTTAGAGTCCCAGCCTCAGAGGAGACAAGAGAGCAGTGCATTTATTGATTTATTTACTGTATATTGCTGCTGCCACACATATCTAAAATAAACATGAGATTTATTTCCCAGCTGTTTACCTTCACAGACATAACC